AAAAAAAAAAAAAAAAAAAAAAAAAAATCATTCACCAAACACAACAAAACTTTTCATCCTTTTCACTGTAGCTGAACCATAAAACACAACAATTGGAAGACTGAGCTAAAAATGTGATTCTCTTGGGATGATTCAGCTCTTTAAGTAATCATCCGTTATACCAATTATTTGTCATCACGTTCCGTATTAAGAATGACGCTTACTTACAGCCTAAGAGGCACCAAAGCGATAAAAAGAAAGTACCTCGTATCTCCACTTCCCTCCATTCTTGGATGAGTGCACAGCAACAACACATCAAATGTGACAAGAAATCATCAAACCAACCACCCTACAGACATTAGAATCAGTGCAACTGTACAGATAATACTTGCATGCTTAAATGAGAAACATGGTCTGAAGTTCAGCAACTAAGAGATGATGAATATTTTTCATGCATTATCAAGAATGTAGCTCATATGAAATCATTCAATGAGTAAGAATTCCGAAAAATCAATTCTAACCCCAAGAAGCATAACCATTAAGCAGTTCTTAACTCTTCTCAGTTGAAACTATTGCTTCATAATGTAGTTGCATATACAAAATGACTTTGATATATATTTGGTATAACAAAAACATTGTTATCTTCAATATTTTCCTAGAAAAGGAACCTTAGGGACTGGTCTAATTACAGGATAAGAACAATTAACGAAAAGGAGTAATAAGCAAATATCTTGAAATTATGAATACCCTTTGACGTCTATTTCTACTTTACTGGTGGGTATTGGCTAAGAGATTCAGACATCAAGGATCTGTAACATCTTAAAGGAATATTTTTGGCTTTGAATTCTAATTGGCGTTTCTTTGTTCCGCCACTGTGAATAGCTGATGTTACCAACCCTAATCTGTTTTCTAACATGTTGTACTTAACATTCACAGAAGAAATCAGTAAGAAATACAAGAATGACTTACCTTGATGTTAAGAGTCCGTCTGAGCTTTCCTCTGAGGCAACATGTGTAGCAACAACATGATAGTACCAGCGAATATGCCATTATGTCATTACAAGTCTGGGCCGGAGCTGTTGTCATGTTAAAATCATTTTTTCTGTTACTTCCCTTTCCGAAATTTACATATTTATCAATGATCGTAATTTAATTATGGTTAATATTTTGACTATGCATACATATTTCCTTGCCAGTTGCCACGGATGCTATCTTCGAAAGGGTATCACAAGGACAAAAGAAAGTCTTTATACCTGCCATTATACATTTCATGAATTGATAAGATCCTATATGCCCATCACAATACTTCAAACTTAATGGAATGCACTCCTAGGTTCCCTTCTAGAAATGTTATCTACGTATTAATCACAAATGATATTAGCACGAGCCACAGCTAATTGTAAAGATACATTGTACTAAATCAAAGAGATTTCAAGCTTAAAGATCTTTACAATTATCACCAAACACATATTGCTAAATAATCGTCAGGCTACATAACACAGAAGTAAGTAGCCAAGAGAAAAAAAACTCGAGTAGATATCAGTTAAAAATAATGATCTTCAATGAGATCAAAAAGTATGGCAGATAAGAGTGTCCAAGGAATATTACAACAAATTTGATACTAATAATACTTAGACAGCTTAGGCTTTCATTAGTAGGATAACTAATGCAGAAGTAGACTAATCTTATATAAAGTCGAGGGACAAAGTAAAATGACAAAAACAAAGAAATGAAGAGAGTAAATGCCATCAAACAAAAATTTAACATAGTTCAGTAGCTACCAACTACATCATTGAAAAGAAAGAACATACACAAGTAAGGTTCAGAACAACAGCCAAGTAAATCCGCATGCCACTCGTCTTGCCCAAGCACCTCCCTGGTTGATGCTGTATCATAACTAGACGACTTTTTGACTTCCCTACTATATGCACAAAATAAATAAATAAAAGAAAAACAGAAAAACAAGAAACACTAAAACAAGAATTCGAAGTAAACAAACCTCACTTAAATAGGACAAAAGATAAGGGAAAGATCGTTATCAGTTAAAAGTACAAATAACCCCACTGAGAATTATTTCAAGGGTGTTTTCATAATCTACCAGATAAAAATTTTCCTTTCCAGACTAAAGCGAGAGACGAACCTCGAGCTTTTCGAGGTGTTGACTTTCCCATGATTCTTTTCACTCGAAAAATGCTCCTTGTCTAAATCTGATGTCCGTGAAGCCTTGCGTGGAGAATCTTGGTCACTCTCAGGACTTGCTTCCGCATACTCGGTAACTTCCATCAGGCGTTCGATCACCTGGCACTGGCTCACGTCCATGTTAGCCTGCGAGTGCTGGAGTTCAGCCTGAAGCTTCTCGCGTTCCTTTCTTAGGGCCTTATTGATAGGCACATTTCCATAAGAACAAGACAGGCTTTTCTTCAAGATTATCATGTCGTTCTGGGAGAGGGCAACTTGTACTTTCCTTTCGTCCTCATCTAATGTGTACTCACGCTGGTCCCTCTCAATTTCTTCGAGCCTCTCCTAGATATTAACAGAAAATCCTTATTTTAAAAATATGCCTAACAAATTCGGCAAAAAGCTTAAGGCATTCCCAGAAGAAGATATTTCCAAGAAAATTAATTTCATTAACAAAGTATGCAAGTTTTTGAGTTTTACTTGTCCATTCAGTAAAATAGCAACACTTCTGACAAAAGAACCGAACACACAACAGATCCACCAATAAAACTGAAACTAGCACGCACCACACCACACAACGCCCTGAATCTGAGGTTGCTACTGCCTACTAGTGGGTTCATCTTCATTTCAATTGAATAATTTAGAATCAAGAACTAAAGCCCGATATGTTCCGACACTAAATACTAATTTATGTTATCGGAAAGCCGGCGATGTTTTGACAGTATAAGCAAGCTAACAAGAAGAGGAGTCCTTCATCTAGATCACTTTATTCTGAAAATCAAATAATAGAATCTTAGGGATTAAGGGCCACGCATACTGAATATTCCACATAATCACAACACACAACATCAAGACGACTTGAAGCATTTCCAAAATGCATAAGGCCCCATTCACTTTTCACTTCATCAGTCACAATCTCATAATAATAATAATAATAATAATAATAATAATAATAATAATAATAATAATAATAATAATAATAATAATAATAATAAACATTAAACACATTCAAAAATCAAATCAAGCACCTTTACTCTGGCGTTATCAATGAGAGCAATCAGAGGAATAATCCTCAAGTAGCGATCGATCTCCTCCTGAGCCCTCCTGAACTGATAGACTATGTTCCAGCCCATAGCCATCAAGTAGAGATAGCTCCGCTCCTGGCAGCTGTTGACGAGCAGATAAGCCCTCCTCAGCGCATCCTCGAGCTGCTCCAATGGCTCCCTCGTCTCCGGGTACCTCTTCAGCTCCGTGATCTTCAGCTGCTCCAGCAAATTCCCAATCAATTTCACGTGCTGCGCGAACTGCCTGCAGTTCTTCTTGTGCATTCTCGCCGTGTTCGCCGCCCGGGCTATCAGGCCGATCAACGCGACGGCGTTGAGGCCGGTCAACTGTATGACGTTCGCCACTTCCCCGAAATGCTCCCATGAAGCCATCGCGGCAAGCAATGGCGAGCGCTCAAAGAACTAAAGAGGAAAAGAGGAGCTCTAGGGAATAGGAAAAAAAATGAAATGGCTAATCGAATGCCATAGACAGATGGGGGAATTGTTTGTCTCTACAAACACATGATAGAATTATAACAGTTGGTGGTTGAAAGGGAAAAAGGGGTATTGATTTATGGAATTTGGCTTTAGGACAAAAGTGTTTACAGGGAGGGACGGGTTGTAAATAAGTCGAGCCGAGCTCAAGCTTAAGGTGCTTGAGCTCCAGCTCGAGCATTTAACGAGCCGAGTCGAACTCGATCCTTTAACGACACGAGTTTGTAATCGAGCTCGAGCTTACGAGCCGAGTTGGAGTCGATCTCGAGCTTTAACAAGCCGAATTGTAGAAAATTATATAAAAATTCTCTTAAGGAGCCTCATCGAGCTCGGATCGTTCACTAAACGATCTTTAAATGAGCTCGAGCTCAACTCGTTTATCAAACGAGTCGAAGAACTGGAGCCGAATCGGGCCAGACTCATTTAATTTAACAGCACTGAATCATCAATGCTTATTTATTTTACCTTTGCTTTTTTTTTTTTTTCCTTTTTAGAAAATATTTCTACCATAACTTCTCACACTCAACAGACTTTCCAGTCTCTCACATTTAAGAGACCAATTTTAGAGAATTGTAATAAGGCTATTAGTACAGTTCATTATTTACTTAAATCGGCTTCTACAAATTTTATTGTAATGTGTGTATATTCTTTTACATCTAATATGAAAAAAAAAAAAAAACAGTATATTAATGTGTGTATATTCTTTTACATACCTAAGCAAATATGAAAAAGACAACATAGAAAGAATAAATAAATAGTTATCTCCAACTTTATGGAATTGTAATGACCAACTCAAATACTGCTCTTTTAAGTTGTACACACTCTGGGATCAAAGAAGAAAGTGTTGAGTGTAATACTATAGTTCTAATAGTCCTTTCTATTTTAGTCCCTTGATGCATGTCCAAGATGTGGTCGTGCTTAGCTCCGTCGACATAAGGCGTCCCGCTGCACGTGTGACGAATGTATACTCATCATCGTCGTCGTATATCTAATGCCGGAAAATAATTAATCTATTCTCTCCCAAATATTAAAATGCTTCAATAATCTTTTCAGGGTATTCTATGCCGGAAAATAATTAATCTATTCTCTCCCAAATATTAAAATGCTTCAATAATCTTTTCAGGGTATTCTGAGCAAGTGTTGTATACCGAGATCGCTTCATTTATCTTGGTGTATAACTTTTTTTTTTTGGATGGTCATGATTGAAACATCATGAGGGACATTGGAATGGCATAATTAACATGGCTTATTTCCAATGTTTTAAATACCATATCGGTGGGCATACCGGTCTAGTCACTGGTATGTGGTATTATCGGAAGGACCGGTAATCCCACCAGTATTATCGGACTACGTACTAACTAATAATATTATATATTTATATAAGATATCATATTGAATTAACATATAAAAAATTGAGTGACGCTAAAGAGTGAAAATGTATATTTATTAGTGACAATTATAGGTATCTTTCAGTTTTGGCCTTTTGTTTTTCAAAAAAAAAAAAA